TGATATTTTTTCTTACACTTGGCTTTGTATAAATCTTTACAAGCTACTTTCTCTACGAGAAGCGATGCCGAAATTTCTACAAATCCAAGGAGTTAGTTAAATTTTGACTTGTCAAAAATTCAACTTTGTCTTTTCTCATATCTGACCTACTTAAAATCTGAGAAGTCTCCTTTTTTAAAGAGAGTGCTGCCCAAATTTTTGCTAATTCAAGAAGTTAGACAAAATTAAACTTTGAGAAACCAAAGTTGTTTTCCAATTCTGAACTTAGCCTTGTATAAATTTTGGAATATCACTTTTCATGAGGGAGTGCTGCCGAAATTTCTACAAAACTAAGGAGTTAGTTGAATCTTGTCTAAGTTGAACTCAAATTGTCTTTTGAGTTCATATCTGACTTAGTATAAATCAAGGAAGTCTTCCTTTCTAAAGGGAGTGTTGCCCAAATTTCTACTATTTCAGGGAGTTAGACAAAATTTAACTTTCCAAAGTTAGAAATTATTTCTGCTTTTTTATCTCTGGCTTAGTATAAATCTGGAAAGTCTCCCTTTCTAAAGGGAATGCTGCCTTAATTTCTGCTATTTCAGAAAGTTAGACATAATTTTGAGTTTCTGGAGCTAAAAATTATTTTTACCTTCATATCTGGGATTATATAAATTCTGGAAAGACACTTTCCCTACGGGAAGCGCTGCCGAAATTTTCTTAGTTTAAAGGAGATCGATTATATTTTGACAGGTGACGATTTTGGTAAGGCTTCTCTGACTGAAGGAAGATTTTGCCATATTGCTTAGAGGTAGGCTTAGATATAGTTAACTATGATGATTTGGGTAAGATCAGGATGTGGAGATTGTTCTCCATGGACTTATAGGTTTAGCCTGGGGCATTGACCTGTCATGTGTTACAGGCCTTCTTGATCAATTGATTCAAGATCCGGACTAGATTCAGGTTGATCCCTTAAGGATCATCATCTGTTATCACCGATAACAGGTCGGTCGCCGATTCGTCGGTCTACGACTCAATTCCAACTCACCCTCCACACTCAACCTCAAAGGTTTTAGCGATGGTGGTTTCGTTGTTTCATTAAGGTTTCACCCGGACTTTTATTGAATGGCCATTTAACAAAGTTACCGAGTATTTAATTGAGGTTCGTTGGACAGGAGGTTTGGGGCTTGCATGGCTAAAGCGAGGGGTATGAGTGTCGGAGATGGTTGGGGTTGATTCCATGTACTGCGTGGGCTGTTGATTTGACTCGTTGATGTGATTGCAGGTATGTGTTGTGAATCAAATTTTGAATTTGGTTGTCTGCGATCACATATATGCGTATAATTGTGAAAGACCTCAGTGAGACTGTGAGAAATGATCGTCGCATACTTCCCCCTTTATATATATATATATATACATGGGTGTACCTAGGGTGAATGACTGCATGAGCTAAGGGGCCCCGTGCCAAAAACATACTCAGAAGTTAAGACTGAGAAGCCCAAGGAAGACCCTTCCTTTTTGCTTTGCTTCTTGAGGATTTTTTTAGTCGTACGTTGGTCCTGGGCCGGGATTCAAGGTCCTTGTCCTAGACATCCCAAGCCCTAGGCTCTGCAGGGGAGGGATTTTCCATCGCGCAGAGCCTATTTGCTTCACCCATCAAGACACCCCACCCTGAGGACAGAAGCGTCGCGACGGCCAAACGGCGTGTCCTTCAGCCGTTCAATATTGTATGGGGTAGCCCCTCACGATATATTCCTTCAACCATTCAATATCGCGAGGCCGGAGCCGCGATTACCACATAGGGTTGACATTGTTGGTTGGTATGAGATAAGCCCGCAATTGCGCTACCTTATATCAGAATCCCGCGGGCGACATTCCGTCGCCCTAGTAGTGTGTAAAAGTTATGGGATCAAAAGAGACCGGCACATACAGGCGGATGTTCGGGACTACTATAGGCCGCCGACACCGCGGGAAAAAGGTGATGGTACCCCAGGGCTATGATTTTATTTGCTAGGGAGGGGAACTGTCGGCCTATTCCTTATCCTATGCTTTTTATAGATTTTTTATGGTTGGACGTTGTAGTCCGTGGCAACCGTCAAAGTCAAACCCCTTGACTTTCGCCCATGCCCAGGGAGGATTTACCCCTAGGGCTGCGAGAGACGGCTACCACCACAAGTATAAAACCTGTGTACCACCCACTCCGCATAAGGGAGCAGAAGAGGGTGTGTGGTCCTCAGCCGCGCGTGGCGGTTGTCCAGTGTCGAGAGATTAACCCTCAAGGCGTGTGTCAGCCGACACTTGAGTGTCGAATGTGACCCTCGAGATTAACGAGGACCGCATAAGTATGGGTATCACATGGTACGCCATCATTGCGACCGCTTGTGAGCGTTTGCATTATGAGTCAATATGAGTTTGTCCCTGCGTCTGCGCAGTTTTATATTAAGTCCTGCGCGCGACGCTTATCCGATTTCCGCATCAGAGAGTTATGGGTTGGCTACCGAGGGGCTAAGAGCGTTGTCGCATTGATTGCGTTGTGTCATTTCGTGTGTGTGTGTGTGTTGTTGTCTTATGATTGTTAGAGTGATGTGCGCGTTGTGTGTGGGATGCGTCCTAGAGTCTTCGAGTGGATGAAACTCCAACGAGACCAAGCTCTCTCACAGGGCGACGCTGTCATCCAAACGTGCAGGATCCTCATGGCAAAGTATTCGGTGTGTGGAAACCTGCGCGACTCCCAAAAACTGAAAGGGTGCTCATAGCTCCTCATCGCTCTATCCATCGTGGCATTGTCGAAAGGCCTCTCCCTGACATGGAACTTGTCGATCGAAGTGAGTATCTCGATGTGCTGCGGAGATCCCTCGGGGTAGCCAAACTGAACCAAAGTGGCAATCAACCCCTGCTGCATCACATCGCCGTCCGGCAGGGTGGCATCCCGAAACTCAGGATCAAGCATCATGGCCGCTATGTGCATTGAAGTAAGGAACATGGTGCGCCGCCTGTCGAAAACCCCAAGGATCTCATCCAACTCTGTCGCGGTGAGGGAGTCGCACGAGGTAAGATAGGATGCGATCATAATCTCATACCGACGCAGGACCTTGCTGATCTGCCGTGTGTCACTGTCCAGCATCTGCAGCATCTCCATGACCGGGTCCATGATGTTACACAAACGCCTCAAATCCTCCCACCATGGACTCCCACCATGGAGGAGACCCCACACATGCTGTGATCCCGGCGGCATCCTGACCGACCTCCCGCGTGGCCCAAACAGTGTCGCATCACGGGTCCTCGGTAACGACCTGCATGAGATGGGTCTGCAGATCCAACAATCTCCTGATCGTGATGAGGGTGGTGCCGAAACGAGTCTCTGCGGGCAGCAACAACTTCAGCTTCGTCTTCTTCTCCAAAGCCTTGCGTGCGTGAGTGTGGCGCTTGAAGAACTTTGTGACGAGTCGCGCCTGAGAAATGCGTGATGCCACCCATCCAATCGACCCAATGTCCTCCTAGATGAGGTCCATAACATGTGCCGCACACGGAATCCAAAAAATATGTTTGACGCTTTCGTCCTCCTCGAATATCTGCATGGCGGACACGTTCACACCCGCAGAATCCGTGACAAACATCGTGATGTCGCTGAGATGGATATCGAGGGTCTTCAGCCTGTGCAACCATGCCTTCCCCAATGCTGGCGCGTCCTTTCTGCCCCGCATAACATCAGTGGCAAGATACGCGGGTCCCCTCTCTGTACCGACAAGGTAGTTGCACAATGTCTGACCACGGATGTGTGTCCAACCATCCGTCATAATATTGCAACCACTCTGACGCGCGGTATCGAGCACTGGTCTCACACACCGCTGCACCTCTGCATCCAGCTCGTCCAACAACGTCGTTCGAACCATGTGATAAGTCGGGGGTTTAGGCACGGGAGCCTCGGGGACCGCAGGAGGGATGATGATTGTGAACATCCGTCTGAAGCTCTCAAGCTTCACACAGTTAAATGGCATGCCACTCTCCTTGATGAACCGCATGATCGTCATGTGCCATGCACGCTCTCTAGGGTCAGAATAATACGAGGTGACCGTTTGCTGCTTGTATGTGCCCCTCCCTTTTGCGACCGTACCAGAGGCACTCATGTCAAACAAACCAGTTGGACTTGCCGGTGTGGCGGCCTGTGGAAGTGGAATGTTGTGTAGCCGCTCCATAGGATCCAAATCCCCTACGAGCACACCAGCGAATGTGGGGGCAGTCTCTGCAGCAGGCGTGGGGGAAGAATCAGATAGTGGAATTGGTGGGGGCGGACCCGCGCCCTCTGCCGCCTGAGTCGATGGTGGATGCGTGTGAGCCGCAGTCCCCTGCACGTCCTGGTGCGATGGTGGGTGCGACTGAGGGGCAGCTGAACGTGGAGGACTAAGAGGAGACCACCGCGACGTAGGTACCGCGCCTGTGCGCTGTGGCGCCCGCGAGTCAGCCGCTGCCAAAGATGGAGCTGAACATGGAGGTCGAGGTGGAGCCCACCGAGCCGTGGCTGCCGCAGCTGTGCCTCGGTCACCCGCAAGAGGAGCTCCTGCTGCAGTAGATGCTCTGGCTGCGGTAGTCGTGAACATAGGATGCAATCCAACCGACGGAGAGACACGGTGGTCATCGAGCGACGTAGGTGGCGGTCTCGTTGCCTCTGCCGACAGCACCGCGGTCCCTCCAAGTACCGGCGGTGGTACTGCATCGACCGACGGTCCTCCCGCCACAGGTGTCAGAACCGGTGCACCAACTGCACCGCGAGGCGGCCCTGCCTCACTAGCAAGCGACCAGCGAGGCTCCGAGTCCTCTGAGAATAAAAGTGTCGGCCACTGGAATGCCGGAGCGCCAGGAGGGAGCCTTTTCAACTCCTCAATCGAGGCAACAAAGTCCTTCGGACACTTGTCCATGTTCTTCGCCCATATGGTATAATACACAGCAGGGGTCCCCGCCGGGCATATGAACTCCTTGCTTTTGAAGAAATGTTCCTTCGCTTTTCTACTGCCCCCACAAATGGATTTCCCGCACAATCTGCAGACACATCGTCGACCACTCTTCCTCCCCACCGCCGTCTCGGGGTACAAGTATCAGCCACGTGCAACAAAATGCCACACAGGGTCATCGCGTTTGACATCCACACCAGCATCAATCTTGAATGGAGAGTCGAAAGTCTTTGAGTTGTGTCCCTTTCTTGTACCACTCTCACTTGTTGTCGTGGCCTGGTCGGGGGCCACCTGCTCCTTGCCAGTGTTCCGCGTCATGATGTCACAACCGCAGCGTGTGACAACAAAGAGTCGCGAAGCGGACTTGCGTCACGATAGACAGCAGTGGCTTCGAAGAAATGAATCGATGATGAAGCACTAGGACTGTTTGACAAGGACAAAGCACAAAACGACAACGGCAAAACAAGGACAAAGCACAAAATGACAATGACCTTTTTTTTTTAACAAAAAAAAAATAAAAAAAAAAGGAAGCCCTTGTTTTTATTTTATTTTATTTTTTTGATGTTGGGTCTGCCGAACTTTGCAGTTTCCCGCTTATACACCCCTTAGGGCCCTTAGGTGCCTTACACCCCTTGAAGACGTTTTACACCCCTTGAAGCCCTTTGTTTTTTTTTTTTTTTTTAAGTTGGGTTTGCGCAACTTTGCAGTTTCCCGCTTTGCAGTTTCCCGCTTTGCAGTTTCCCGCTTTGCAGTTTCCCGCTTTGACACCCCTATGGCCTCTTCGCCCCTCATTACCCCACCCCCTAAGAACGTTTACAGTTTCCTGCTTTTACACCCCTTAGGGCCCTTAGGTGCCTTACACCCCTTGAAGCCGTTTTACACCCCTTGAAGCCCTTTGTTTTTTTTTTTTTAAGTTGGGTTTGCCCAACTTTGCAGTTTCCTGCATTTACACCCCTTAGGGCCCTTAGGGKCGTTACTAACCCACCCATATTGCCGTTTGTTGTAATTTTTTTTTTTTTTTTGGAAGCAATGTTTACCGTTTCCCGCTTTGGCACCCCTAAGGCCTCATGGCCTCTCCATGTTTCCCACTTTTGCACCCCTTAGGGCCCTTGGCCCCTTGTTACCGAACCGTATATATGTATATTTTTAAGTTGGGTTTGCCCAACTTTGCAGTTTCCTGCATTTACACCCCTTAGGGCCCTTAGGTGCCTTACCAACCCACCCATACATCACCCCTTCCCCACGAAGCCCCAAAAACCTTGAAGCCGTTTTTTTTTTTTTTTTTTTTTTTTT